AGGAAGGAAGGAAGGAAGGAAGGAAGGAAGGAAGGAAGGAAGGAAGGAAGGAAGGAAGGAAGGAAGGAAGGAAGGAAGGAAGGAAAAAAGGAAGGGGTATACCCGATGTCATGGTAAGTATGCTCTTCGCCTTTATGTCATTTAATTAAAACATTAAACGATATTAGAAAAGTTTGTCATAATTGATTTAAAATTCAGATTCTGTCTTTTATTTTCCAGTGACCTTATAACATGTGCATATGAAACAAAACTCAGAGCAAACTGACAAATACCGGGTATACTTCCCCTGCTTAAAGCAAATAAATACATACATTTAAAGAACAGTGAGTTCTTCAAAGCTGAAGGTTATAAGTGTTTTCAGAGGCCAAGTTATACATATCCACAGCTATCATTTTTATGTGTGCTGTTTAACCCAGAATGACTTCTTAGTTTTCACAATAATTCTATAAAGTAGCTGCCAATATACCCCCCATTTGACTAAAGATGAAACTTAGGAACAGATTTGCCTGATATTTACTTGTGACACAAAGATTCAAAACATAGTCTGTCTGGCTCCCACTCTCTTCCTATCTAGCTATTGTTTAGCAGAAAGGGATCCCTCTGAAAACAGGCAGCATAAGATGCCCATCTTACTTACCCTTCCTTATACAAGTTTATAAAATTCTGACCAGAAATTTTCCCTTCCCTCTCTCCTTCCCTTCCTTCTTTTTCCCCTTTCTTCCCCTCTTTCACTCCCTCCTATTTTTCCTTTCTTCCCTTCTCTTCTTCCTCTTCATCTTTTTCCTCCTTCTTCCACCTTCTCCTCCTCTCTTTCTTCTTGGCACTAAGTCTGAACTCAGGGCCTTGTGTTTGCAAGAATGCTTCCCACTTGAACCATACTTCTCCAGCCCATTTGCTTTCATTTATTTTTTCAGGTAGTGTCTTGCTTTTGCCCTATCACCCTGGACTGAGATCCTGCTACCTTTGCCTCCCATATCCTGAAACTGCTAACACAGGTATGTGCCACTATGACTTGTTTACTTTTGAGAAAAAGGTCTCACAGGGTTTGCCTGTGCTGACCTCAAACTTGAGATAGCCTCCCATTTCCCAAATCCTAACTTCTTTTTGTATCTATTGTTGGTTTCTAGGGTCCATGATCTCTGGCATTGTATCTAAAAATTACCCATTACCCCTGGCTATACAAATGAACAGAAATCTGCCTCATATTCACATAATGAGCTGAAAAGGACACTAGAGCAAGCAGATCATCTAATCATTCAGAAGCTGACTCCAGGAATTTTGACATTCCCTGGGATACCAAGGGAGGCCTGGGGATGCTTCAGAGTTCTGCATTCCAGCTGCCTCCTTTCCTTCTGTCCTGCCCACAGGTAGGATGCTAGTCAAGTAAAATACAAAAAGATGGGCTATCTTTGCCACCATAAAAATGACATTTCATCTTCCTCTGATATCCCTTTGCCCATAAAAAGGTCTCGTTCATACATCATATATGGCACTACTTTGATCAGCTGTCTTGTTCAACATCTATATTTAAGCATTTAACCAACAGAATCAACAAGGAATCACAATTCTAACTCTTCATTACAGGTATTGCTTTGAATAAATAAACCAACGTGCATAAGAATTATATTAAAAGAAAGTCATATTTTATAAATCATATATGAAACAGAAGGAATAGAGTTAAATAGGAAAATGAACAGAATTATCCAAAGAGAAAGCTCATCTGAAATAGTGATATGTAGAAAGAACATTCAATAGTACTGAGGATTACAGACATGAGCCACCATGTCTGGCCTCAATAATGCTTGATGAATGTCAGTTGATCTTCCCAGAAATCCAACAGCCTAAAAAAATGATGCCTTTCAAAGTTTTGACCACAGTTCAAGAAACATACATTCTTTCTGAAACAGTTTCTACAACTATTACATACAAATCCTTTGATTTTTTTTCAAGTGCTAATAATGACATACATCATAGCTCACCAATGACTTACAGAACCAAGGTTTTCCAACTGTGAAAACCTTTCTTCTAGAAGAATCCTAACATTTCAGAATACAGAAAGACAAAGTTTCTAAATTTGACAATTTTGATGTGTTAGTCACGTCCCAATAGCATTTCAAGGTGACTTGAAACAAGTCAAATAGGCAAAAAATAAAAAAGGTTCCATATAACATCCATGATGAGAGCAAGTTTCAAATTAAGAAGAGTAGCACAGAGAAAACAAGAAAAAATAAAAACCTGAAATATTTCAACATATCTATTCAACCCTTTCACAAAATATGACAATTATTAAGCCTTTACTAAACACAGACATACTATTCCAACTCCAGTATTCTATGTACTGCTTTGCTCTTCCTTCTAGTAGAAGTTCAAAATCAAACATAGACAGCAAGATGGGAAGGAGATGGACTCTGAACCACTAGGGACTGGCATTGGCATTTGTACTTACTTTGTCTGGCTTTCTACCCAGAACAGTGCAAATCTGGGACAGGAAAAGAAAGGCCGTTGCCAGCATTTAAACCAGACACATCTGTGGGCAACCTCATGGGACAGAAAACAAAATATTCTAAAAATGCTAGTGATTTTTTAAGACACATTTCTTTCTTAACAATTGTCTAGATATACCGGCAAGCTAAAGAATTATTGGGATTAGTAACCTCTGATTTAAAAAAAAAACTGAAAAAGAGCAAATTTGGAGAAAAGAAAAAGTGAAGAGGAGATAACTTCATAATAAATAATATTTCTTCTTCAGAAAAAATATCAAATACCTTCTGACCAAAAACCCTATCACTATATATGTTAAGATTTCTTACAGTAGTAAAAGGTTAAACTAGATAACCCGAGAATCCCTTCCAACTCTGAAAATCTGTTAAGTATAAGTTTTAATCCCAACATCAAATAACCTTTTAGGAAGTATTAGATGCTCCTTCAAACATCCACAGAGGATAATCCTACATATCTATAAACAAACCAACATCACATAATTTCCTCTTTCCAAACCACAACTTACATAAAACTTAAATCACTTTCAAAATGGAATGGCTTTGTAGGTATATACAAAAGTCAGAATCTTCAAATGACCCATTTTAGATATGTATAGTTATATCAGTTTTGCCTTAGCAAGCCTTCGAAAAATACTTTTATTGCCAGCTTCCATCTATTTAAAAAAATGCTTCATAATAGGATCAAAAAGCATTAAGCTGGGTGCCAGTGGCTCACGCCTGTAATCCTAGCTACTCAGGAGGCTGAGATCTGAGGATCATAGTTCAAAGCCAGCCCAGGCAGGAAAGTCCATGAAACTCTTATCTCCAATAAACCACCAGAAAACCAGAAATGGCGCTGCAGCTCAAGTGGTAGAGTACTAGCCTTGAGCTGAAGAGCTGAGGGACAGCGCTCAGGCCCAGAGTTCAAACCCTATGACCAACCAAAAAAAAAAAGAAAATCAGCATTAAGGTTGGATTCCAATGTTTTCTAGGTCTCTCTTTTAAACTTAGTTTCCCTTACATTCACATTTCATTGTATTCCTCTCATTTTCCTAAATCAGCAATCATTGAAAAGCATAATAACAAAGCTTTAATGGGCACAGAAATTTTCTGCTGCTCTTCAAATGGCCCATTATTATACAGTGGAATGTATCTTTTTTTAAAAAAAGCAACTTAAATGGCAGCCTAGGCCATTAGGTGGCATCCTTAATGGCTTCATTTCCTTCTTCCCATTAGTTAAGGGAATTCACATCTATGCTACACCTATTCATGCTACTGTTTTAGGGGTCAGCATTCATATTCTGTCATTTCTTATCAGGAAGCTATCTGAAGTTCAATCTGAATACCAACCACAAAGGCAAAGGAGGAAATCGGAAGACTACTCACATCAGATTTAGAGGACATAGTCTCCTCCACGTCTGAGTCATTGGGATCCACAATATCATCAAATGGTGGTAAAGTTGATTTCTTCTTTTCTGATGCCTCACTTTCAATTTTGACTTTTCCCATCTTGACATGAGATTTATCTTTTATCTGTTTTTTGTCAGCAGAACAAGTGAGTATCAGTGGTGGGGCGCTAGAAAAACTTTTAAATAAAGCCTCTGAGCTACTCTTTTTCCTTTTTTTGGCTGAGAGTTCTTCAGAATCTGAAATGGAGGGCCTTTTGCTGGGAGCCTTCTTATCTTGCTGTCCACTGGTGATGGTGAGCAAGTTACTGTCTGGTTTTGGCTCTTTCGACATGGGTTTAGGTTCCTTGAAGGCCATCTTAGGAACTATTTTCTCTTCTTTCAGTGGTTTATTTTCTTTGGGTTTCTTAGAGGATTCTTTGGAAGATTTGTTGTGATCCCTGGAAGGTTCTTTGAAGGCACTTTTATGTTCTCTGGAGTCTTTAGAAGGTTTTTCCTTGTGCTCCTTCATTAATTTGTGAGGCTTTGAAAAACTGGTACTGCTGCTGCTGCTACTGCTGCTACTACTACTGCTGCTGCTGCTGCTGCTACTGCTGCTGCTGCTGCTACTACTGCTGCTACTACTACTGCTGCTGCTGCTGCTACTGCTGCTGCTGCTGCTGCTGGTATGGATACTCCTATTAGGGTCCTGCAGAAAGGAGAAAACAAAACTCTCAGAACTGAGCAGCAATGAAGAGTCATTTCCTTAAGTTTAATCTACATTAAATGACCCTTTCTTAGATTGTTCTCAAGATATCTTCAAAATGTCAAACATATTTTAACATAAGCCAATCACCACAGAGTAACAGGTAGAACAGTGCATGTGAGAATCTTAGGGGGAGGGGTTACCATGATCAAAGAACTTAGACACGCTGTCTCCTCAATCATTGCAAGTGAGGAGTTTTGAAACATTTCGATTCATGTTTGTTCAAGAAGACAAAAGGTGGATAACACATTCTTAATAGTTATTGTACACTTTCAATGGATGACGCTAAAAGTAACCTATAAGGTGCTATGAGCAAGAAAAGAAAAGGACCAGTTGGTTCTGCTGGGAGACAGTGAGTTGGCTGTTGATAGAAAAGTAACACATGAATTTGGTCCTAGGAAATGAGCAGGTAATTACAAGAAAGGGAATAAGGAAATGGTACTTAGAGACCAAGGACCAGAATAAGCTAAAACTGTAAGGGAGAGAAGCAGACTGCATTTGGAGAGCACAGAACAAGGTTGGGAAGGAAGAAGGAAAATAGGTTCACACAATGAAGGCAGGTTCTTTTAAACTGCAAAATACTTAGTGATATACAGAATCACAAAACCTCCAAAAGTAAGTAATTCACAATGTGCAATTAAAAACAATTCTTTTTGTTCTGTCCAAAATTTTATCACTTAGAATATACCTTCTCCCTAAGAAACAGAAAGAAAAATGTAATAAAGGAATCCAACAGATCAAAGATCTCATCTAATCATCAAATGTACTGATGTCTTTATCCATTACTGTTGTGCATTCAAGAGAAGAGGTAACTCCATTTCAATAGGAACAAGACAAGAAGGAAGATCTATACTATGCATTAAAATAAACAATCTTCTTATTGCATATGTAAAGGGGAAAACATGGATGCAAGTTCATGGATACACATTAGAAAGTAATACCATAATGGGAAGTTATTGATCTGTATTATTTTATTTATTCTCTCAAGTGAGCATTTGATTTCAAAATGCTAAAATGGATAAAGTCACTAAACAGAGACTTTTATGCGTTAAATTAGACAATTCCTTACAAAACATCTTAATCTGACATTTCAAAACAGGATACTAAAGATAGACTTCATATTACTGAAATTTCTTTATTTTATAAATCCTCTTACAAGACATTTCCTGGCATGTTAAGCAATACTATGAATAGTTACAATTAAAGTTATGGATAAACTAAATTAAGAAAGAATATTTTCAACTATTATCCCTGAGGTTTTTTTTTTAAAAAAAAACTGGCTTATTCACTCTTTCAATTTTAGCAATTTGCAATCCATACTTTTATCATAGCTCTAGAATACCCACATATTACTATTCAATCTGTATGGAGTATTACACATATTTTAGTATTTTAAAACACACATTTTGAACATATTTCTAATTTTAGGCATTAAAATTGTCCATCCCAGTGTAGGATATATATGTCTCCAGAGGTCTTTTGTATTTTATTTTTTAAATCTTCTGTAGATAAAACTGTAATTCTTAATACAAAGCATACAGTAGTATCTGAGACAGATTCTCACTTGGGCTGGTAATAATAATGAACTGTGTAAGTATGTTATCAGACTCCATATTCATCTATGTAATAAATGTATAATAGTGGCTTAGATATATAGTTGGGCACTAAATTGCCACTGACAGAATAAAAACTTTCACTAACTCTTGGCTTATCTAACACACACACACACACACACACACACACACACACACCATATATAGTGGCTTCCAAAACCTTTTTTATCATAATTATAATTTTTTTAAATTGTGAAAATACCATACAGAGGGGTTATAATTACATGGGCAAGGTAATGAGTACACTTCTTATCAAGCATTGTTGCCTCCTCCTTTGTTTTCCCTTACCATCCCTTCCTATCTATACCCCCCCTCCCTGCATTCTGCCCTCGCCCCTCGTGCCAAAGTTGTAAAGTTCGTTTCTCAACATAACGTCTTGTACATCTCATTGTTGCAATGGGTCCACCTGTAGCCCTATTTAAACAATTTGTTTTTTCCCTTCCCCTCCCCAAATTATACTAACATCAAATACAGTGAAAACAGGGGTCATACCGTGGGGGAGGGACATACAAAGCAACAAAACAATCACATTATAAATATGTTAGAAACAATAGCAAGAAAGAAAAACCATTTCAGTCCTTATCTTGGGGTTCATTTCTCCTAACATCAACTTATCTGACCATTTCTGCTTGTCTCAGACATATACTAGTTATTGCAAATACGGGAAAACATGGAACCTATATTTCTAAAACTTTTTATTCAACCACTAACCTCAACATTAATTCCACGGAATAACAGACTAATTTCCATCCAATGTGAAGTTTACACGTTGTAAAATTAAATTTTTTTTCTGTGGATCATTGGGACAAACTGAATATCAAGAAATCCAAATAAAGAGATATGTATGTGTAATTCAGATCTCAAATATTTAAAGTATATGATTATTTAAACATACATGTACACACACATATTTGTGCTAACTTTACCACTTGTGAATGTAGGGTACAGTATTTTCCTTCATCCATTCAATTCTACTGAATGCTTCCTTGTTTTATTTTCTCTGGAACAGAAAGCATCTTTTTAATGTATAATCTCTACAATCACTACTTGTCTGCAACTCTAGTATATAGCTTAAGATAAACAAGGTGTCTAACTACTGTCTAGAGCAAGGTTTTCTGATTCTAAGTGGCTTTCAATTTCCATGGTATCTCCAAGACTTTTTCCCACTGATGAAGCTGATCCTGAAATTCCTCTATGATTTTTTAAATCCCATTTTAACTGGCTTCTACATTGTGCAAGAAATTTCAGATTAATCACATTTTCTTCAATCAAACTATTATAATCAACTAGTAAATCCTCCTCACTCAAGCGTTCTACTTCTCAAAACCAAAAAACTTAAGTAAAAAGAGTTAATTTATCCAAAATAGCATTTTAAAAAGATACTTCCTCAAAATTGTAGCACAGTCTCAAGGGTTATGTATATAAAGGGGGTAAGGAAATTCACGATAGTCAAGAAAAGCTTCCAAATTAAAAAATCTTTTCTGGGGCTGAGAAAGTGGCTCAGTGGTAGAGCACTGAAGAGCTGAGGGACAGCCCCCAGGCCCAGAGTTCAGGCCCCATGACAGGACACCCCCCACCACCACCAAAAAAATCTTTTCTGTAATGTCATTAAATGCATAACAAGTGGCACAGAGGGATAATGACAATTTGAAGCTATAAAGTATAAAAAATTCAGGAACATGAATTTGATTTACGTTTCCCACTTCAATATAAAAATCCATTCACCTTCAACCCCATTCACCTTACTCATACTAGTCAACTGTGGAGCCTGAAGGCTGAGAGGCTGGTGCAGGACTTGTTCAACTATAGCTTCAAGCTAGAGCTTAAGGATAAGTGTACATGTGGCTCAAGTGGTAGAGCGCTAGCCTTGAGCTGAAGAGCTGAGGGACAGCGCCCAGGCCCAGAGTTCAGGCCCCACAACTGGACCAAAAAAAACTAAATAAATAAATAATAAAAAAGAATAAGTGTACAACAGTGGTCAGCCTCTTTCGCTCCAAAGGCACTCAATAAATGAAGAGTCTATTCTACTCCTCTAGGAGTCATCCACGTGTGTAGACAACAGACAGATAACATGCCTGCTGTTATTGTGAAGGCTAAGATGTCTGTACCTTGCAACACTTAACAGGATTACAACAGCCCTAGGGCCCCTACCAACTCAACCTGAGCCACAATTCATCCATCTATAACAGCAATTATGACAATTCATGTCATCAATAAAAGAAGACAGACTTAGCAGGTATTTTGGAGGAGACAGATAAAATACTGAAATCAAAAATAGTATGATTACTTAGGGGAAAATCAAATAGAATATAAAAAATTATTTCTAGAAAAAAATTCATGACCGACTTATATATACAAGGAAGAAAATAAAGTGTCTGCTGTCAAGGGATGCAAAATTTGGAGAGTTTTACTTGTTATAATATATGAATAATGTTGCCTCACTTTTAATGGTGATATTCAATCAGAAAGTTAGAGAAAAATCTACCTAAATAGTTCAGGGGAAAAAAGCAATAAAGAAAATAATGCCTTTTCTATACTTAACCAAGTAAAAGCATCAGGCAGTCTTATAAAACTCCTCAAATGTTTATTTTCCCTAGATATGTACAATATTCAAGCAGGTATAAACACACAAAAAATATAGGCAGGTAATGTTCTGCTCAAATGATGTATGATTGGGCATCATCCTATGAATTAAGCATGAACCAATATAAAGCATGCAAGATAAACAGAATATGATACTGACCACTCAGAAAAAGAATCTAGACATGAATAACAGGTTCTGTCAACTATACCTGGCTATGAGTTCTGTCAATTCTTTATTAGGACAAAATGTCCTCAGTAACAGCTACAAAGAACAGCTAGGAGGCAAAGGAGACCCACTTGAGGTCTTTACAGAGAAGACCTATTTGAAATAACCACTTTAGGAAGGTCACCTGGGAGCAATATGGTAAGAGGTGGGAGTAAGTAGAGGGCAAAGAAAGCAAAGCCATTCAAGATTCCTGCTCTGAGGAACTGGGATGGGGGTGGAAACAACACTGACATCAAAGTTTTACAATTATTTAGTCAACAATCTTGTGAGGTAGTTATTATTAGCTCCATTGTATGAATGAGTACACAGACACCAATATGCATAAAAATGAGTGTATATGTATGTGTAGTTAAAACAAACAGAGAGTGGACAGACACCAATATATATAAAAATGTATGTATGTATGTGTGTTAAAACATGCACACTTAGCCTATCTCCAATATCTGTATTATTAATCATAATACTTCTATGGATTCTCTGTGAAGTCACTTAGTTTAAAAACCAAATGTCAATCATAACAA